TCAGGAGCTCTCTCCCTCGCCGTGCACGGCTGCTGCACACGTGTGGGGCCAGGGCAGCAGCTCCGCATCCCTGCTGGCTCCCTGCACTGCCACACCACACCCTACGCCAGCTCCTTCCAGCAACATCTGCTTGAGATTTTTAACAGATTTGCTCATCAGTGAATGCAAGGGGGGTGGTGTTTGCCAGGGCAGCAGTCACAAATCCACAGATCACTTGCACAGTACCGATTAAAAAGGTAGGTTCTTGCTTGCTATTTTTTCCACATAAATTCAGAGAGTGCAAACAATGCAGGCAATGCAAAGTACACAACTTAAATTTTCAGTTCAGGCACGGCCTAAAGTAAGTAACATTTAAATAACAGAGACAGGCACTGAATGTATTATTAAGGGAAAACAAAGTCATGTAAAGAACGAGATCATCCTTTCTTCCCCCAAAGCTGACTCTACATACAGACTCACTGAAGCTTCAAATTAACTTTTCTCAGGTGTGCTACTGGTTTCAAAGATGTCACTGCCAGAAAACTTAAAACATGACACTTCTAAACCCTCATATTCAGAATACCCTCTGTTTAACCAAATTCATTACATCTCATCTTCAGGAGAGAAAAGACCACATTAACATTGTGTCAATGACCACTTCAAAAATTACATCTCCCTCTATGCTAAGACTTAAATGGTTTAGCTGACAAGACTTTTTTTAGTACAAGGTAAAAACAAAGTCAAAGCTTTGAGATAAATCCTGTCAGTGAAGGTTAGTTCATGTATGGAAAGCCATTTCTGTAAGGTGAAAGACTCCCCTTCTCCTTCCCAGAGAAGCAAGTTAAACTGCTCCTGTGAGGTTTCATAACAGCCAAGAAAAGGCTATTTGTCATGGTTACACCCACTTCCTCACCCAATATAAAATTAAGAAATATACTAAGAATTTACTCAGATTAACTTATCTATGAAACTGTGTCAAACTTCCTTCACAAAGCACAAAGTCTCCCACCCTGAAAGAGATAATTGACAAAATACACCTCACACCCATTGCAACAGAAGCTGGACACCTCTTTTTCAAATACTGAAGCCATTAATTATTTACATCCCAAGTACCCTATGGAGTCGTTTCTCAAACTGCAGGCCATACTGAATTTTTATCCCGTTAAACTCCTCTTATTCAATTTAGAGACAACACACAGCTTGGGGAAAAAATTCCAAGTTACCTCTCCTCCTTAATAAACTTACTAGAAAAACCTTAATTACCTCAGTTCATCCTAAACAAAAGCTTAGCCTAGTATCCATTTCAAAAGATGAATCCTAATACAACTACAAAATTAAGTATGACCTTGTCCTCTGTGAACTCTCTTCAGTGTCACAGCTCCCAGACACGAGTGTTTCAGCTTATTCAAGAGAGGACTAATAATTACCATCAAGGTGCAATATTAACCTACATTTTCAAAAACACTAGCTAAGAAGTATTTTCAGATGATGAGTATATGTGCTCAGGAGTCCTCTGATTATTTGTGGTTCTACAGCTACTTTCTCCTCTTTTCTTTGAAGTGTTTTGCCATTCTCACAGTTGCTGCATGAATAAGTGTGATAACAAATTACACAGAAAACCTAATAAGAACTGTAGAACAGAATGGCAGAAAATGCACCAAACCAAACTGGAAAGAACTACTTCCTCACGTTTTTTCAACTACTTAAGAGCAGAGCAACACTTCAGGTGAAGGATGATTTCCAAAAACCACTGCCTTTACACATCTACACTGGTTATTAAGCATAATGCATTAAATACTTAATTATAAAATTCAACAGTGTCCTGCATCCTGAATACATGGAACTGCAGCGATAAATGCCTTGGGTTTTAAGTGATTACTCCTCAGGAGCAGAACACAAATCCATTACTGAAAGCATACAATACAGAAATATGATCCCAAAATCTGATTTGGAGAAGCAACTATCATTCAGAACACAGACAGAAAAAACCCCTGACTGACCACTGGCTGCAGCACAGACTCAAAAAAGCCCATAAAGCGAGAGAGAAAAGAACCAGCACAGAGACACAAGATGTTCCAAGATCCTAACTTCTGTGTGTATGAGAATTTATCAAGCTATCCAGATCTTGATCAACATTGACAGAATAGTAATAAGCAGTAATGCTACTGATAAAATTGAACTGGCATTTCCAGCACATATGTGTGTGCCTCAACCCTATTTATGAATCATTCTGATTTCACTGCATTACAAGTTCTGATACACAGCTACTGCACTTTTAGTAAAATTACATTTATGAAGTTGAAATTTCTGACTTTCAGCTCAGATCAAGGAGTCACTTGATTTTTCAGAATAGTCACTATTTAACAGCACTGCTGCAGCTTTCTCCATATATTAATTACCACTCATTTTGAAGCTTCCTGTATCAAAAAGTAGGTGTAAGAGCTGCTGCTATTGTAAGAAAAAAAAATTTAAAAAACAAGAAAGCATTATGAAGACTGAAAGGGACTGGTATTTTATATAAATATGTCAACAGAAGAGGTAACATTAAAGAAAAAACAGATGAGCTCTCTCTCTTGGAGCAAAGTGTGATAATTACATGCTAAATGTTTTCTAAGGGCCTATCAACATAAAAAGAAAAAAAAAAGAAAGCCCACTGGGGTCCTTTCAAGTTCAAAGGCCTAGATCTTACTCTAAACCAAAAGAGTGCAAGCAGTAAGTCCTAATACAGCATCATCTCTCAGTTTGTCACTCTAAAGGAAGATGGTCTATGCCAAATTTGAATGCAGTACCTATGGAGAAAGCAAATCAATTCTGTAAGAATGGCTATGCCTCCTAGGAAGTAGGATTCTGTAAAATGCATTATCCGGCTATGGGATAAAAGAACAGTCCACACTAACACACTTCAGGTTTTAGATTTGTTTTATCTTTTCCCTGTGTAAACATATAGACTATGTAGTCAGGCAGAATTTCTGTCTTCAAAACTACCTATTTTCCTCATTGTACACACTCAAACCTCACCTGCTCTAAGAGGCATCTCAGCAAAGACTGCTCCAGGAAAAGTGACCTAACCACAAACGACTGTGAAGCGACCTGGACCCTGACCTACGGTAGTATCAAAACCAGGAGAGTATAACCAAGAGCTCATGCTTTTTAAGGCTTAAAAATACTTAAATATTGTTCAGAATCAATAAATAACATTTATCTTTAGTGTAAAAACACTTTAGATTTCTATCCAGTGATGATTAAATATCACGATTTATTCGCACATAAATTTGTGAGAAATTAAAGATTAAGTTTTTAAGAATTCCTGTATAAAACCGCAGAAGTAAAATTTGCAAGCTATTACACACACCATTAGCAATTGCTATAGAAGAAATATTTGACAGCCACACAGATCTGTCAAATAAACGTCAAGCAGTGAAGAAAATTTGGTTCATGGATTCATTTTCTCTCAAAGCACTCCAGCTTCTCCCCAGTTTCCCTGCAATTTCTCTCCCCCAATCCTACATAAAGTTAGCTGCGTGGTTTCCAGGCTGGCAGCTGTCACCCCCATCTCAGCCAAGCCGCACACCACCAGTGATTCGGAGATCGGGCCTCCTTTTGTATGGAGCACCGGCTGCGTGAGCAGGGAAGGCAGCGCACACCGGCGCTGCGTGTGACAGCGCTGCCGCCTTTATCGCCGCTCCCGTCATTCTCTCTCACACCGCGATCCCCCATCCGCATTGTCTGCCTCGCTCCATCCCTCATTAACATGGACACGTTCTCGCTCCTCCGCCAGGGATCCCCGGGAACCCGCTCCCTCGGCCAGGGAACCCCCTTCCTCGGCCGGACGCCGGGATTTCCCTGGCC